AACTATCTGTTATACCCCATTTTTGAATCATTTTATTCAATAATACTAATGAAGGTCTACTATCAGAATAGAAAGTGTGTGGATTAGAAATTTCTGCTAATATTGTTTCATATACTTTTCTTGATTTAAATGAATTAGGAAGAGAATGATAAAATGAAGTAGATTCTGCTAAGGATTCTAATAATAGTATTGTTGCTGTAGATGGATATTCTTCAAGCCTATTCATGAAATTAAACGGATTTAGTGCAATTTTACATTCATTTCGTTTAAATAAATAGGAACTGACTACCTTCCATAATGGGTTAACTTGTTGAACAACAACCATTATCATTTTAGAATATAATATTGCAGTTGGTGCAGATATTTGTTGGTTTGCAGTATCAATTGAATTCCTAAATATAAATAAAAATGCTTGAATGAATGAACGTTGACAAAAACTATAAAATGTTGTTTTTATCTTAAGAATATAAAGTGTTTTTTGAAGAATAGAATATCCCATTTTTCTAATATTTTCATCTTCTGCTGCTGTGGCTATCATAGCAAATGATAAAAATCCATTGTAAATATATGATCTTGGTTGAAAAATATATTTTTTAAAGACAATGGCTCTGTCTAATGTATGGTATGTTAATGGTAAAAGATAACATGGATCATATGGATATTCCTCTTCTGTATCTTGTGTTTGTATTAAGACAGAAAGATCTTCTTCATTACTCTTTCTTGAAAATGGAAAATGACTTAAACTATATTCCATATCTTTTTTATTAAAGAATATAGTATTATCAAACATTCTATTGATTGATGTTTTATAATCTAATCCATGTCTTCCTGCAACTAATGGTAATTTTGGATATAATGGTGAGTATTGAATAATTAAATAAAAAATCATTCTATCTGTATTTGACATTGTTCCATTATAACTCTCATATATCATTTTCATCATATCAAATGTTGGATTATTCTCTGATTTTTGACCATATAACTTTATTAGTAAAACACTAAAATCATGGGTTATTGGTAATTCCCATTTAGGTTTGAAGGATTTTTCTTGAATTTTTAATAATACTTCTAACTGAATATCTTTATTTTCTATGACGGTAAGTAATAATGAAACAATACCATAACCATATCTAGTAGATTGAATTGTATCAATAATCAGGTTAATCCATTCTTCATTTGATAATAATACGTTATAATTGACATATTTTATTATGCAACAACAAATATGAATTAATTCTTTATAATATTCATTCTCTTGTAAAGTAAAATTCTTAACTTGTTCAATAATTTGTTTAAAAATAACTTGTGATTTATCCCCGAGAAAAGAACAGTCTTTAGTTATAAGAGCTACAAGTGTATTAAAAATAGTATGTTTAGTAATATCCAATGATTCTTCAATTGGATAATATATTCTAGTATACTCTTTAATAAAAGACAATGTTGGTTCTTCACAATGTGCAATATACTCTTTTAATTGATTAAATATTAAAGGATTAATAAAAACTTTTTGTGTATTTAATACAACATGAATTTGTTCTAATGTAAGAGTAATCCATTCATGTTTATTACTTCTAATAGACTCTTCCAATAGTAAGTTAAGATAAAGTGATGTTTCTTCTTCTTGAATATTTTGATTACATTTACTTAACACAAAATTAATAGAAAGTGGTGTCTTATTATTAATTGAATAAATCATTAAGTTAACTGGAATTAAAATATCTTTGGAAATATTTTCAAAAGAGTCAATTCGTTTGATTGGACAATTATGAAGTACTACTGACTGAACAAATTCTTTTTTATTTTGAGACAAATAAGCAATGATTTGTAATGTTTGCTCTTTTTCTTCATTCCAAATTCCTTTCCAATACCATTCAAATAAATATTTATAATTTTTTAATTTTAATAATCCAATTTTTAATTTTTGAATAAATGATTTATTTTCATATACCTTTAAAAGTTGTTCTTGAGAATGTGGAAGTAATTTAATTAAAAGGAGATACGTTTTCATAACACATTTATTAATTTTCATTTTACTTAAATAACTACCAAAATATTTATTATAAATTATCTTTTTTATAACTGTTTTTTTTGTGATATTAAATAATGTTTCAATAAGAATATTTGATGGTGTTAAATTTGTATTATTACAATAAAGGAATAACTTAGATAATGTAATGTAATAATTTTCAATTGTTAAAAATGGATTAAAGAATGGGATAATTGTTTTAGATATTGTCTCTAATAATTCTTTACTCATTTTTTTCTTTGAAGAAAATATAAGTAATAATTCAATAAGATTATTTGCCATTACTTTATAAACATTTGAATCAAATAATTTTCTTGTATGATTTAATTGTAATAAAATATTTGTGACATGTGAATCAATTACATCGCTTTCAATAGAAAATTCACGATATTCTATTTGACTAATTAATTCTTTAATTTCTTCTTTTAAATGATATATAACATCACCATCATCTATTTGTTTAACTTGATATTTGTCTCTTAAATATTGTTTTACTTCTTCATCAAATATCATTTCATGTCTTAATCTAAAACAACATAATAATAATTGAATTCTCTGAAATCCTTTACTTTCTTTCATTAATGAGATTAGTGTATTTTTACGATCAACAGGCATTTCTGTTTCTTCATCATTAAGAAGGGTTTGATAATATATAACCATACATTTTTCTTCATTAGTTTTACCAATACCAATTTGATGACCTAACAATATAAAATGGAATAAAGCAGGAAGATCATATTGAGCTGGCATTTTTTTATAACAATTTCTTGAATCAACAACTGATTTTAATGTTTTTGAATGAGTTGCTTTACTAAATTTTAATATAGAACTAATGTCATTTCCTAAATTTGATCTAAAGATAAAACTTTCATATGGAGAATACTTGAAAATTATCTGATCAAGAATTTTATTATATTCATCTCTAAGTAAAGGAAAGTCTTTGATTAATTCATTTACTCTTAATGAAATAGGAATAATCATTGCAGGAAATTGTTTTTTCGAAATAGAACTTGAAGTAATATTACTAATCCAGTTAATAGATTCTCCAAGTTCAGCAGCAAAATGCAATCCTCTATAAAGAACCAACTCATTACTTGATTCTAATGAACGTAAAACTACTTGTTCCATTCTTAAAGTTGAATGATGAAATACAGTTGGACTTACTCTGTGAAGAATTTCTAATGTTTGTAAACATTTTATAAAAGCAAAGTTTGAAGATTGAGAAGTAGCAAGAGCATAGATTGAATGTGCATCCGGAAATTCTTGACAAATACTATCCATTAATATTTGGTCAGCATGAGTAGATTGTGCATAAACCTCAGTTCTTGAAGCCATAGCAAATAAAATTAAAGCAGCTTGATATTTAAACAATTTATTAAATGAAGCAAGTTTAGAAATAGCAGTTTTAGGAATAAAGATTAAACACCCTTTAATAAAATCATAAGAAGAAATATTAAGAGTATTAACAGGTAATTTCATAGTATTTAACATTTCTAATAAAAAAGAAGTTTGAATATAAGTAGGTAAATCATTAGTAAAATTGAATCCAAAATTTTTACTACTTAAATACATTTGAGCAACAATTGCAGGTTGATTTTTAAAGATAGATATCATTAATTTTCTTGTTTCTTTATGGTACATATAAAAATTTTCCATTCCATTTACAAGAGTATTATAATGTATTGGTTTATTTGTAGGAATTAAAGGAGTAATATATCCAGGAATAGTATAAATCATATATAAAAATTCTTTAAGTAAAGGAATAGGTTGAGGCTCAATAAACATATTATAGAGTGTTGTTAAAATATTTTTCTTAAAAAAGAATGAGAATTGTTTATCTTTTAAATATGGTGATTTTAACATTTTAATTAATGCTTGAAGTAATTTTGTTTGAATATCTTCTGTATCATTTATTGCATCTAAAATGAATAATGATAATGGATTTGCTGTTGTTAAATAATCATTTAAATATGTTAATGCAAATTTAGAATTACATCCATCTGATAAAACATCAATAAATTCAACAATTACTTCTCTAAAATCTGATATTTCTCTTTTAGAAGCAACATTAAAAATATCTTTCCAAATTGGATAAGTAATACCAACTTTTGCATAAACGAATTTAAACATTTTAATATCTTTTCTTAATAAAAAAATTATTAGTCTAAGACATGCTATTCTTGAATGAAGACGTGAACTACTTAACCATTTCATAAAATTTGTTAATAATTCTCCAAATAAATATGACACCGTTGTTTGTAATACTTCTTTCTCTTCTTCTAAATTCATTGAAAAAATTTCTATTAAAACATTTATTGCTTTCTCTTGAATAAATCCAGGTGTTCCATTTGCATTCATTTTGAACGTATCTACTAATTCATTACATCGTGGTGAATGTTTTAAATAATATCGAATCATTGAACCATCATTTTCATGATTTTTATATTTTTGTATATATTCAATTAACTCGTCTAATGCAGAGTTAACAATAGAACTGTCTTCATTTAATAATCGTGCAAAGACAAGTTGGTTTTGCATGAATGTCTGTGATTTGCTTTTTGTGTTTTTTCTTTTTTTAATACCAAATTTTTAGAATTTAAAATTTATATTCTCACAACCCTTTTTTGTTATTTAATTTTTTATTTTCTTTCGACATTCTTTCATTATTTTTGATTTACTTTCAAATAAAGTAATAAATCTCTATTTTTGATTAACTTTATTGTATTATAGTAAAACTATTTCTTAAACTAGAAAATAAAAAAATAAAAATCATCTAATAATAAAGAACTATTAAAATATTTTAATAAAATTAATAGTATATTTAGTTATTTAACTAGTTAAAAATAAATAATAAAAATATAAAAAAGTAAAGAAAAAAATATAATACAACCAAAACCAATTTAAAGGGAGGACAAGGGCCCTAAAAGAGCACTATTAGATTATTTAAAAAGGATAGAATGAGATTAAATCTTCGATGAAAAGAAATACTGCTACATTATTACCTGCTGCTCGAGTTAAACGTATTATGCAAGAAGATGAAGATGTTGGAAAAATGTCAGGGAATGTACCGATGGTTATTGCCCGTGCAACTGAATTGTTTTTAGTAGATCTTATTAAAAAAACAAATACTGTTGCGGAAGAAAAGAAGTCGAAAAGTGTTAATTTATCACACTTACATGAGTGTGTAAAAAATACTCCTGTTTTTGATTTTTTAATAGAATTGATTGAGGCTAAAATGGCTGAAAATCCACCAGAAGAACGTAAACGTTCAAAAAAAGATTCAGGTGATGAGGGGATTACCTCATCAAAGAAACGAAAACTGGAAGAAGATTAATAAAGTCTACAAATTAAAATTTAATGTATTTTTCTTCGTATTTTGTTTTTATTTTATTCTTAAAAATTGTGATGATAATTCTTATTTTCTGTTAATTTCTTTAATGAAATGATATTTAATAAAAATTTGAATAAGTCAATTCTGTGGGTATAGAACAAAAGTAATATGATTCAAACAATTATTTAACTATAATAGAAAATAACTCATTTTTGTTTTGTCATTACCAAGTGAAATTTACTCACTTCAATGAATATTAATATAAATTATTATAAACATTTCAATGAATATAAAACAAATGATTAACAAAATAAAGATATTGTTGAACCAAATTATGTAATCCTATAACTACTCATTAAATACTTCAAATAAAAATATATTAACAACAAGAATTTTATATCAATGAGAAGAAAAATTCTTTCTAGTATCAAATTATCATTCTGAAAATCAAGTTACCAAGGAAAAATAGTCATGTTTACCCAAAGAAGGATTAATTCAGAGAATTGTTATTTGTTTTTGAATAGAAAAAGTAAAAAAAAAAAACATAAATGAAACAAATGTTATTTATTTGTTGTAAGTTGAGAGTAATGAAATTAATTTTAATTGAAAAATTACATTCAGTGTATAGAAAGTATTTTTGTTGTATTGAATATCAATATACTTTTAAGACTCTTTCATTTAATAATGTCTAGGCTATTCTCTTCAATAAATAATACATTACCTAAGACATCTTTAAGACATTACTTATATAAGTATTAAGCAACTTATTTCATTAAACAAAGTATTTCAGATAAACCCACTTATGATATGATTAACAAAGTCTATTTCCTTAATAATACAAAACTCTTGTTTCTGATAATTAGAGTAACTAACAAATTATATTTGTAATAATAATAGTTTTTTTTCTTTGTATAAAGGCAAATGATTAAAAAGAATTAATTTATGTAAAAAGAAACTACAAGATTTATATATTAGTAAATGTTTAATATTTGGCAAAAAGAATTTGATATTCATCATTAACACTAATCATATAATTAATGTCATAATCTTTTTCTTCAGGCCGCCCCCGAGTTTCAATATTTCTTTTTTGTTGAAGAGGATCACTGCAATAGAGGAAGAAAATACAACTTTGCTTCCTTTTCAAAGCAATAGAAACTTGACCCTTTACTAATTCAAAAACACCTTGAATAGAATATTTACAACTATCAACTCTAGTAAAATGACAATCATCAAATCGAGGAATGTTATATAAGTCATATAACTTTTCTACTCGGGCTTTTAAATCCTCAAATTCAAACTCACTTATCTTACCATTTCTATAAGATGCAGCTGCAAAAATGTTAATAGAATCTGCTGGACTTCTCTCCATAATTACATATTTTTTATTTTGTGCCTGTTCCATTTGTTGTCTATAACAATCTATAATACTTAATTGAAATTCATACACTGATCCATTACCTTTGAGTGTATCTTCTAATTGTTTTTTAGCTTCAACTGGTTTATAGTCAACATATTCCTTTACAAATATACTTTCTCCTTTTGGTAAACTTCTTTTTAATCTTCTAATTAAAGTAGACTTTCCAACTCCAACACCTCCAGTGGCAATGATAAATTGTTGGTATTTCATAATACCGTTATTTGATGTATCTTAATCCAGTTTCTTCTTTAAATATCTCCTTCGTTTCTTTTTTTTTTGGGTTAAAGTTAATAAACCTTAATTTTCCTTTATTTTTTCTTTATTTTTAGAACAAAAACGAGGGCATCATATTTTTTACTTCTTTTTTATAACCAATTTAGGAGAAAAGGATGAAAAAAGTATCGTTTTGTTTCGTTACTAAGAAAATGAAATATAAAACATAATTAAAAATCAAAGAAAATTAGTTGATAGAACTGAGATTTCCCTTTAAGTCGCTCAAGGCTTTATTCAAAATGTCATTAAAGTGAGACTCATTCACTCCATCTTCAATTAGTTTAAATTTTTCTAATACTAATTGTTTTTGTTGTTCTGTTTTTTGAGAATTAAATAAAGCAGTTTTATATTCAGTAAAGAAGACAGGGAAATGTTTTATAAGTTGAACCAAACAATTTACTCCTCTTAACTGATTTGACCCTTCTGTAAATAGCATTGTTTCCATAGAGGCTTTCATCATTTCTTTGAAATAACTTTGACTCTTTCCAATTTGAGACTCAAATGAAGCAAAGTTTTCTGTTTCTCGTGTTTGAACTGAGTCATAAGTATCAAAAATCTGAGATACAATCTTCATAGATGAACGAATGATATTTGGATCAGTAGATTGTAATCCATTAATCAATATCATCAATAATTTTTGGAATGTGTTTACATCAGAAGAAAAGATAAATCTATATAATACACTAAACATTCCTTGTAGTGTAGTAAAGACAACTACTCTAAACTTTGATTCTTGGAAAATTTTATCTAATGGAATTGCAAATAAAGTTAACATGATACATTGCATTAAAGAAGGTAAAGCAGGGTCATTATAATAAATTAATACTCCATATGGAATAAAATTACCAGTCAAGAAATTATTAAATATAGTGAATATTCTTGGAATAGAATTATCAAATAATTTTTCTGGTAATAATGGTAATAATGGTATAATAATCTTAATAGTACTAACTATTGCTCTGAATAATAAAATAGCGTTAGGAGATGAATTAGAAAAGTTGATTCGATTATATGTTGAATTAGTAAATTGAACTAAAAATTTGAGAGTATTATATAACAATAATGGACATTGTCTTGTTGTAACTTGATTAAAGAATAATGAACCATTAGCATCCACTCCAGCAAATAATACATTTTCATAATAATCAAAGAAGAACCATTCAAAGAATTTAATATACTGTGATGCAGTAGTTGCAACAGTTAATAATCCTTGTAAGTCAATTAGAATAGATAATAACATATCAACATTACTTACTAAATCATTATTAAATGTACCTGATTGAATACTTGTTATAAGGAATTTCAATTTTGTATCAAATGGTCTCATAAATTGCATAAAGTCACAACTCTCATCTTGGAATAATATTTTACCAAGAATACTATAATATTTTCTTCTTAACTTAACTAATTCTTCATTAGTTGTTGATTGAGATAAGAAATCAAAATACCTATTAGCATGGTTTTGCATTAATTGTTGTGTAAAAGGTAATGATGCAATAAATTTACTTTGTGAACAAGAAGAAACAAAAAGTAAGAATGTGTCTAATGTTTTATCAATAAGTGATGTATTTCTTGGGAATGAAGTTAGATTAAATGAAATTTTTTGCATAATTTTACCAACTATATCTTCAATTTTATCTATCCCTAATACTTCTCTTAAAGGTTGAATTGTATCAGTTCGATATTGTGATGCAGAAATATATAAATTCTTAAAATTACCAAAGAATTTCATATATTCAAATTCTACTTTTACTTCAATTGATTTTTGATTTGTTTTGTTTACATAATTTATAATTGAATCAGTTAAATTCATACATCTGAAAATTTTACCAACTAATGCAGCTTGAATTTGTTCATTATCATTTCCATTACTATATGTTCTATTTAACATTGCATTCATTACAGTTAATAACCAACACATTTGTGTTTCTAATTTTTTTCTCAATGGAGAATTATAATCAGTAGCATTAGATATTTGTGATAAAGTATTTATAATAACTTCTATACGTTCTGTTAAAAATCCAGCCATTTCTTTATATTGTGCTTTTGCTAATGAACTTAATGTTTCCATATAATCTTGTAATTTAAATTCTTCTTCATCAATAACAGTGTCATCATCAGAATAATCCATTACTTCAAAAAATTGTAAGACTGAATTAACTAATGCTTGAGATAAACATAATGCCGTTTGATTTAATAATGTTTCAGTTTGTGTATCTCCATTAAGTTGAGTTGAAGTAATAACTTTATTCCAAAAAGAAAGTAAATAAAGAACAGCATTTTTATTATCTGACCAATTATTAAAAGTGTTAATAGTAAATTGAGAAAAACAATTGATATGTTGTGTTGTAATAATTTGATGAATAGGATGATTAGTTTTTAATCTATCTAAGAATCTACAAAAAACAAATCGAGTCTCTGAATTATCTAAACCATATCCACTTTGTACAATTTTTGATGCACCATCAATTAAACAATGTTGTAATCCTGATCCATCAGCTTGCCTTGCCCATAATGATTTTCTAATCAAAGAGATATATCCTATAGTATCAAGTATAATTGTAGTTAATGGTGGTTTACAATTGAAATATACATTAAATAGTTGTTGAACAAAAGTAATATCTTCAAAAAAGTTCTTCCAGTCATTTGGTATTTGAACGGTATAAATATCTTCTGTTGTTTCATCCATATTCGTTCCAAGGAAATTATATTTAAGACATGAAAGCATTAATTTCATTGTTGATAACATTAACTGTTCAATATTTGATGGTCTTTTTTGTAATAGTAAATTAAATACTTCTAAACTTAATGAAAAAATATCTTTAAGACAATTGTCTTTATAATTAATAGTAGCTTTACGATTAGTACAGTTTTGTGTGTTAGACATATTATCAGTTAGTTCAACTAATAAAGTAAAGACAAATGGTATTGAACTTGGATCTTTTAATGCATTATCTTTTAATCCATTAATAAAAGTTTTATTTTGTGGGTCATCAAACCATGTGGCTTTAAGAAGGTCAACAAAGGTTTTGATTGCAATATTAATTGTTTGTGAACTTAATGAACCAATTCTTTTAGATAAAAATTCATAAATGAATTGTTTAATTTGAAGTTTTTGTTCCATTGTAGTAGAAATTGTATCAGCCATTTTTTTAAATGATTTTAACGCATGAATCTATTTGTGACTTTTATCCTATCATACACCCTCGTTAGATAAAAAAAATTACAAACTTGTGCATATATATTATTACTTTCAACTAATATTTGTTGAGACTGTGTTGGACTGAAATCTATTATTTGGTTTGTTTGTGCTGAATACATTTGGGTTGCAAGTTGTTCAAGTTGTTGAAGATTCATTGTATTAATACTCATGCAATCACTTTTCTTTCTTTTGAGTTTTTTATTTTTAATTATTTTTACTTTTTAACAAAATTATAATTTATAATTATTTTATTATATTCACTTTTTTATCTTAAAAATAAATTAAATAACATTTTTTTGTTTATGATAAACATCTGAAGAATATAATCATCGTATATGTGATGTTTACTTAGTACTTCTTACAACATACGATTTTATTAATTTTAGAGACATAACCCAGATATAATAGTCTATGTCTTAAAATTATATTTGATTATAAATGCCTTGGTAAATGTTTTTAGTGTGATTAAAAAAACTATATTATTAGTCTGATAAAACCAAATATAATAAGTGATAATTACCTCTTTTTCATTTAATCTGTTTTTCATGAATTTAGATAAAATGGAATTATAACAAGGAATTTTTCAATGAACATTAGAGAAATTATGTGTAGTTTTTTTTTTGATTTACATGATTGTTTATTTGAGATTTTTTACAAGAGACAGTATCCATTCATTTTTTTTACTATTATTTTTATGTGTTATAAAAATATATTTTTTGTTATATAGTTTAAGACTAAGTTAAGTATTATTTTGCTATACTTAAACATAAAGACTCATGTTAAAATTTAGTATGTCAAATTTTATTCATTAAAAATCAAGTTGTTAAAGAAAGAAATGGGTGTTAGATAAAAGAATTTCACAAATTTTATAATTTCTTCTATTCATGATTTAAGAGTTATATGAAACCTTTAATTATTATATCATTCTTTTATTTCTTTTTAACTGTTATTCTATCTTTTCTTATTTTTTATTCTAAACATCCAAAAGTTAAATATCTGAGTGTTTTTTTATTCATTTTATAATCAAAATTCATTAATACTTATTAATAAATCTAAATAGATGATAAGAAATATATGATAAAGATTTTTAATAATAAAATATTATTCAATTCTAATTTTTTTAAACATTTTTCGGTATTTCCATAATGAAATATTGAACATTATAATTTTTATAATATCATTTAGATATACGAAAAAAAATTAAAATCATTTAAATATCTATTTAAGATAAAAATAGAAATTTAAAAAAAAAGAAAATGACTTTTTATTAAAAGAATTTCTAATCAAACAAAATATTTATTTTCATGATAAATTTCTATTTTCATAAATTATTTTTATAAATTAATTAAGTTAATAGAAGATAAAATCATTCATGAATAAAAGAGATTCTAGACATACCTTTTTGAACAGAAAAATTTCATGAGATTAATGTATTATTCTATAATTTAATAAAATAAATCAACGTTAAATGAAAGTATTACTGATTTTAGAATTTATTACTTTTTTATTAATTTTGTAGAATAGTATTTAATCTAAAAGAAAATTAGTTATTTAGCGTATTGTTTGAAATAAAAGATATAAAGAAATATTCTTTTGAAAATAGTTAGTACGATAATAATATGTTATGACCTAAAGAAGAGGAAAGGCTCTTTTCATATATATTGAAAATAACAGAAATTTAAAAAGAAGTTGGTTTTTCTAAGAAGAACTGAAAATTCTAAAGATGGAAGCACCAAAGATCCTTACAATCTCCGTCAACCAAGATTTTTCATGTTTTGCCATTGGAACTACTTTTGGATTTCGTGTGTTTGGAATAGAAAATGGAAGATTTAGAGAACGGTTTAAACGAACACTAAAAGGGGGAGTTGGAATTATAGAACTTTATCATAAGTCAAATATGTTAGCATTAGTTGGAGGAGGAACAAATCCAGCGTATGAACCAAACAAAGTAATTATTTGGGATGATTACCAAGGTAAACCATTTGGGATATTAGATTATCCAACAGAAGTAAGAGCAGTTAAATTACAAAAAAATTATTTATTTGTTGTTGTAGACAAGAAGATTTATGTATATAATTTTAAAGACTTAAGGCCTTTATATCAATATGACACTGGAATGAATAATAAAGGATTGATTGCAGTAAGTAATGACGATGGTAAAATGATTGCTTTTCCTTCATATCAAGAAGGAAGCATAAAATTAGTTAATTTAGAAACCCAAAGTGAAAGAGAAGTACAAGCCCACATTCATATGGTTTCTACAATGGCATTTTCACCAGATTCACGGTCTTTAGTTACTGCAAGTGCACAAGGAACATTATTAAGAGTATGGGATACTAATACACTAAAACAAAAAAATGAATTTAGAAGAGGTCAAAGTCAAGCAGATGTGTATAGTCTTAATTTTTCACCAAATAGTGAACTTATTGTCACAAATTCAAACCGTGGAACCGTTCATATTTATGGTGTTGAAGGAGATTCAGAAAATTATAATAGACCAAGTCGACTTTCATTAATAATGAAAGATACAGGGTTGTATAGTAAATGCGAATGTACAATGGAAAGTGATGTATTTACTCTTGTATTCTTTCATTGTCCACAACTTCAACATATCAGTATTATTGGTATATCTCAAACAGGAAAATTTATAAAATATCAATTAACAAAGAAAGAAGATCAACCTGTGTTAGTATTTGAAGAAAGTTTACCATTAGATCCCATATATAAGTGATTTATTCATTCATTATGATGTTCTTTTTAAAACTATTAAAATATAATATTTTTATTATTAAAATATAAATAAAGAATAGACAAAAAAAAACTTAAAAAGAATTATTGAAAGAATTTAATGTCTAATAACAACTCACGACAAGATGACTTTGATTTGTTTGTTAGGTTTATTTAGTTTTAAATTAAAAAAAAAGAATAAAATCTAATTATAAGAAAAAAAGAAGAACAAATTGAATCAACACAACAAACAGATTTTAATTCAAGAATGGATTTAATGTCAAAACAACAAAATGAAGACCAACGATTATTTGAACAAAAATTAAAAGAAGCAATTAAAGCAATGAATGAAGTTTGATTAATTAAAATTATAAAATAAATAAAATTAAAGGTAATAATAAAAAATAGGAAATAGAATCATATAAAAGTGCTCTTGAAGTTATGAAGAAGACATACGTTCATTTATTGGATGAAACTAGAAATGAAGAAGAAAAAGGATTTGATGTAGTTATGGGTAAAGAAACAAGAGATCAAAAATTAAAAGAAATTCAAGAAAAGATGATTGAATTAAATACTATTTATAATGCTAAATCAAAAGATATTAAAACAGTTATTGAAAATGCAGCAAAAAAATTAAAATTTGAAGAATTAAAACAAATGAAAATGAGAGTACAAGAAATGATTAATTCATTAAAAGAATATAAAAGTATTATGGAACAAAATGCAGAAAAAAGTGAAGAAATTGCTAATACACAAAAAACATTAAATCAACAATTAGGATATGTATTAAATAAAAAAAAATTAGTTACTACAACTAAAGAACAATTATCTCAATTCATTAAAAATAAAAATTCTGATGAAATAGAATGTTTATATCAAATTCATTGTGATGAATTTTTCCAATGTGAATTAGAACCAAATGAATGGTTAAATATCCCTTTAATTATTCTTAATAATATTGAAACTCATTGTTCAACTCTTAAAGTTTGTTTTTATTTATTAATTATATTCTTAAAGGATTTGATATTTATTCTTAGATTGAAATTGTTATTGATTCTTTGGAAAAATTCGCTGAAGTACAAGGATCTTCTCAATTATCAAATGACTCATTATCTATACTTAATACTGTTAACTCTCATCTTAGTCATTTAATTTCTTCACCATTAGCTATTCAATGTCCAAATTCTGTTACAGCGTATCGTATTTCACAAACAATATATGCAGAATATACAACAGCTTCTCCAACTGTTCCAACAACATTCTCTCTTTAAAGTAAATTGGATTGAATAACTTCTTTCTCTTTTAAAATTAAATTTTTTTTTTAAATAATCCTTTTTGAATAATACGGTAGTTTTATTCCATCATAACATTTTCTTTAAAAACTAAAAAAAATTAATTGAAAAATAACTTAAAAAGACTATATGTCACAGTTATCAAATGACAATGGATTTGTTATTTATATAGATATTATTGAAGCAAAATTAACTGAAGAATGTCATTTTTTTGTTGAATGTAATATTAATAATGAAATATTAAGAACTAAATTATCACAAAAAAGCATTAATCCAATATTTAATTTTCGTGCAGGTCCATTAACTTCATCAAAGAAATTAATTTTTTCATTATTTAAAATTAAACGATTTGGTAAAAAACCAATAGAAGTTGGATCAATTATTATGAAAACATCTAAGTTAGGAATTGATATTCCTATAGATGAATGGACTTCTGTTATTTCTCCTAAAGGTATTGTAGCTGCTTTACATTTAAGATTAACAAGATCTGCATTAACTAAACCTCCACGAGTTAAAAGAATTGGAGAACGTTGGGTAATATTGCGTACATTTGATCGTTTTTTTGAAGAATCTCCTATTCCTTTACCTTCAAGAAAACATTATTTACATATTTCTAAAACTAAACAAAAACCAAAAGTATTATGTCCTCCAAATGGTATGTTTCTTGGTGTTACAGCAATAGGACTTTGTGATGTTATGGAAGATTTAAAAATTTATTTTAGAGATGAAGAAACTCCTCAAACTGATCCTTTACTTATTCCTTTTTCTGGAGAAATTAAAGAAATGTATCCATCTCAGTATGATAAAATACCATCCAATATTTGGCTTTTTTGTTTTCCTGATGGACTTAGATTATCAGAATTTCCTATAGAAGCAGAATTAAAACCATTTGTTATGACAGATGCTGATGGAACATGTAGATATGCTATGTTCTTAGTTAGTTATGAAAAAATGAATGAAAGTGAATCAAATGCATTATGTAAACGATTAGATTGTAAAATTAAAGAATTATATTTCCCAAGAGCATTAGCTTTGTTTTGTGAATATCCATTATTTAATGAAATGAGTGAATGGTTATGGGGAATTTATAATAAAAATTTTTTAAAATGTGGGAAAATAGGGAATAATGCAGTTTTTGATGCATTTGATTCAATTTTTAATAAAACACAACCAATTGTATTAGGAAGTTCTCAAGAAGTTCAAATTCATCAAAAGAAAGTAACAATAACATTTCCTAAAGGAAATGATTTACCAACATCTCCATTTATTCTTGGAGAATTATTTTGTTATTTTAATAAAACTACAATTATTCAAATATTAAATTATATTCTTCTTGGTGAAAGAATTGTTTTTACATCATCAGATAATGCATTATTAGTAAGAACAATTGAAAATTTTAAATTATTAATATTTCCATTACAATGGGTTTGTGTTTGTGTTCCAATTCTTCCTAGAATATTATTAGAATATTTAACATCACCATTTCCTTATATTCTTGGACTTCCTAGTTCATATAGAGCAGAAGCAGATCCAATTTTTAAAGAAGAAGAATTAATTCTTATTGATATTGATAATAGTGTTATTCATAGTTCTATAAAACATGTTACTCCAGACCTTCCATCTTCAATTACAAATACTCTTTTTGAAGATTTACTTCAAATTACTATTATTGATTTTGATTATTCAACAATAGACCCATGGAACCCACCAATACCATCAAACATTTCAATACAATTATGTTTTTTTAAAGCAGTGATTCAATTATTATTAAATTATAAACAATATATTGGATATACTTGGATATCAAATGAAAATGTTATTATTCATTTTAATGATGATCAATTTATTTTATCACATCCATCAGAACAAATGGATTTCTTAAAATATCTTACTGAAACACAATCATTTAAATTCTTTTGTGAAAGTTATTCCAAAATTACATGTTCTGTTGTTAATGAATGGATGGAAAAAAATATTTATAAAAACAATATTTTAACTCTTACGAAGTTTTATAAAGCAACAGAAGAACATCCATTAATTTTTAACAAAGTAAAAGATCCATTTAAGTTGAGTAACATTCATATTGATACTTTTGGGTTATTAAATAATGTAAGAAAAAAAGAAATTAAAAAACCAATTATGTATTCATATTGTCTTGACTCTTTAAAAGTTCAAACAATAAATAATAAAATAGAACCAATTATTGGATCAAAGTTTATTGACAAATTAATTAAATTAAATAATTGTGGTTCGCCAATTCCAGAAATTGGAATGCTTTTTAATGATCTTAGTGATATTAAACAAAGATATAATTTTTTAAAATATCTTCAAACAAAACAACATTGTTTTATTTTAAAAGAATTTGGTCCAGGAAATGTTACAAAAGAATGTGCTTTAATATTAATAGAAATATTTAAAACTATTGGTAAATTTTGTGTATCACAACATGACAGAGTTTGTGCAGTATTAATGCTTCAAATATCACTTAAATTATGTAGAATAGAAAATATTGTTCAAGAACCATTATGTATTGCATTAAATGGAATGCCATTATGGGAAGACTCTATGATTTGGATACAATTATATTATCAACAAATAAATGAGTCTAAAGCCAAAGTATTAAATATTAAAAGTGAAGAATTAAAAAATAAAATTCCATTATTATCTTTTGAAGAAAGAAAAAAATTTGTTGAGAAAGAAAACCAAGAAGCTATTGGTATTATTCATGAAATCGCAAAAACAATGAAAGATATGAATATGTCAAATGATTTTATTAATACATTTGTTGCAAGAATAAGTACAATGTTACCATTTTCTGATACTAAAAAAGATGAATTAAAATGTATTATAAATGTAATAACAAGAATCACTATTGTTCCAGATACTTTTGAACCAGATAATATTTATGACTCTATCTATTTTTAAATTAAATATTAAATTCAACAAAATTTTAAAAATCAAATTAAAAATTTAGGGTTTTGTTTATATGACAAAAAAATTTTTTTTTTTGGGATTCTAAAGATCTATTATTAGTTAATCTTAATTTTATTACATGAAAAGAATTGATTCATTGATAAGTGATAAAAAGATGGTTCCTTTTGGTGGTGACGCATACGAATATATCAAACTTACAAAAACTAAAACGCCTAAAAAAGATGAAAAGAAAACAACCACTCTTGAGAGTAATCATGTAAATATTATATCAAGTGATAGTGAAGAAGTTAAACCTAAATTAACAAGAAGCAAAGAAAGAAAAAGGAAAGAAGAAAAAGAGTTAAAAAAATATAAGGAACAAGCAAGTTCAAATAAACTTCAAATTAGACAGGTAATTACTAAATATATTCCTGGTTCAAGAATGGTTCATTTAAGTAAAGCATTCAAATATTTTGTTCCATCTACAGAGTTATTCTTTGAAAATTATCCAATGGATAAAAATATGTACTTGGTTCGTTGGGATAATTATTCATTACTAGAAGCAACATGGATCTTAGAGTCAGAAGTTAATGAAAGTATTGATAAAAATGGATTAGTCAAAAGGTTTGAAGAATGTTGGACTTTAGATAAGTCATGTATTTATAATGATTGTTTATATCCACGCCAACAACTTCATTTGTATCCTTTTTTAGAGAAAATTGTTCCAGCTAAGTTATTAGTTCCAACAAAAATTTTAATGGAATCACCACAGATAGAAGATGCTGGTGAAAAGATAACTATGTATCGTGTAAAATGGCCAGGTACATTTGAGTTATTTATTAGTGAAGAACCAGATACTTTTTTTAATAATGAAAGAACAAAACAATTATTGGATCGATGGAAATTTAAACCAAAAGAATTTCCTCTTCAACTGAATCCCTCACAGTCTGATTGTTTATTGACAATAAAAAGAAATATTTCCCAACACTATGAGACATTAATATATGGTGGATATGGTAAAAGGACAACTGTTTTATGTTATTTATTGTTTAGATTAAGAACAATAAGTTATCCTAAACCACAACTGATTATTTGTGATGAAACTTCTTTATCTTATTATTATAACCAATTACCATTTCTTTTTCCTGGAGTTCCAATTACTTATATTGTTAATCCTTCTAATGACCCTCAAATTGAAACTGTTTTTAATTTAGAGTTATATGATGAAGATGAAAATGTAAAACCACAACTTGTTCTATTTTGTTGTAAAAGTTTTTCATTTAAAAGATTTGTAAAATTTGACTGTGTATTAATTGATGTACAAAAAGAAGAAAATATTAATACAAAATTAATTAGAACAGGAATTTGTGACCATTTAATAGCTGTTGCACGTGAGAATTGTGATATCAAACAACTTAGTACATTCTTAAAAGAAAAGTCTAAAAAAATATTAATTGAAGTTGAAATGAAACAAGAACCTAAACCAAAGTTAAGTAGACTGTTTTTAATGTTAAAACAACATACAAAACAATCATCAATTTATCAACAAACAGTCTCTGATTTGAAAAGAACAAAAAGTGTAAACGCCTTAAATGAAGATTTAAGTAGAATAATGCTGTTTCCTAATATCAGTACTTTTGGAATTCAAATAAAAGGAATTAAAATGACAACGGCAGAAAAAATTGTTCGTGGATTAGTTGAGTTAAATAAAAAAGTTGTTATTGTTTCAACAATTCCACAAATGAATGAAGCATTGTCACTAATTTTTAAATGTAAGGTTATTAAATGGGATAACTTAGTTTCTACTAATAAAGATATAAGTTTACAATTCAAAGAAACACCAACACAAGATGAAAATAAATTAGAAAGAAATGTTGTTTGTTTAGATCCAAATTCATATGAAGAGGGTGTTGAACTTTCAACTGCAGATTATCTTTTAATGCTTGATGACGATTATACTCAATCTAAAATTGATGAACTGTGTCAAACACGAAGAATAGGAACAATAAAAGATTTAAAAGTTATTTACATTGTAATAGAAAATAGTTATGATGAAACAAATGCACTTTCTATAATAACCAATAAAAACACAAATCAACCAAGTAAAAGTAATGGATCATTACAACCTCTTAATAGCATAACAAAATTCTCTGAATATGAAAAATGTTTAGAAGAAATAACACAAGCTAAAGAAGGAATTACTATTCTAAGATTTGGAACTGAAGAAGAAGTTAACACTTTTAATAAAACAAAAGAAGAACAAACTCAGAAAGAACAAACGGAAGAAATAAAGAAGAAAGAAGAGGCTGATAATGAATCTAAAAAACAGAATCAATTATATGTTAAAAAGAAATCATTGAAACTCCTTATGACTAAAGATGGTATAAAAAATATTGGAAATGAGTATCTAGAAGTTATTGATGAACATAGTAATGAAAATACTAATAATAATGAAAATACTAATAATAATGAAAATACTAATAATAATGACCACAGCTCTAGTAAATCAAGTGAAGAAGAGTCCGTTGAAATTCTTGAAACAACACAAGTTAAATCTGTTCAAAAAGAAGAACAGGATAAAAGAAAAAGAAGTAAAGTTGATGAATATATCAAATCAAATGATTATCAACGTATTGATGAAAGTGATGAAGAAAATGCTAGTAAAATTATTAATAAAGAAACTCAAAAAATTTTAGAAAAGCTTGAAAGTATTATTTCACATGAACAAATTAGTAGCGAAGAATGTCACAAAGTAAGCCAATTAATTATATCTTTACTTAAAAGATTTGGTAAACACTATGAAAATTGGCCAAAAGGAGTATTTCAAATATTCAGCACAAAAATACAACGACTTTTACCTTCTGTTATAAAAGACTTAGACAAAATAAAAATGAGTGAAGAAATTGAAGATAGTCATGAAAATTATCAAAAAGTAAAACAAGCTGTTGAATCAATTCAAAAAGTGAAACTAAATCTAGATGATATTCAACCGTGTGAATGGGGAATTCCATGTGATTTATTATTACTCAAAGAAGTAAAAAAGTATGGATTAGAACCACCAAAACTATGGCTTAAGAATGATATATTAAATTTTATGATACATAAACTTGGAATATCAGATAAACAACAACAAATTAACTTCGTCCTTGAACGAGCTAAAGTATTAATTAATTCATTGAAAACTCAGTCATCAAATGAGCCAAAAGAAATAGAAGAATATCATAGCAAAAGAGGAGTGTCTGAAATGATGTTAAGTGATATATCTGAAATTAAACCAATCCCAACACCAATAAAACATAAATGTAGTAGTGTTTCACCACAAAACATCACTAATAACATTACTCCAAATGATAGCTTAGAAACATCAAAAAAACCAAAAAAAATATTAACACAAAGTAATAGTGAAAATAGTTCAGAGCTATTAGAACAACCATCATATCTCTTAAAAAAGAAATTAAGCAAAATAGAAAAAGATTAATGACAATTTATTATATTATTTTATTAAACAAAATTAATTTTCTTTAGGTTTGAATATATTTTTTTAAAATTAAAAATGAACAAAAAGAGATTAAATTAACCACTTTTATTAAGCACCTTTAGTTCTGGAAACACCAACAGTTCTTCCTCTTCTTCCAGTAGTCTTAGTGTGTTGACCTCTAACTCTCAATCCCCAGTAATGTCTAAGACCTCTATGTGCTCTCATTTTCTTAAGAGCTTCAATATCTTCTCTAAGTCTAGTTTCAACAGCGTTAGCAATAAGTTGAGAATCTTTACCATCTTTATTATCTTTTTGTCTGTTCAAGAACCAAACTGGGATTTTATAGTTAAGTGGATTGTTAAGAATATCAACAATCTTTTCAATTTCAGCTGGTGTCATAAGACCAGCTCTCTTGTTAACATCAATACCAGCTCTTTTACAAACAAGGTAAGCATATCTTCTTCCACATCCCTTAATTCCTGTGAGGGCATATGGAACTTTTCTACGACCATCAAGATTAGTATTGCAAACACGAAGCATGTGTTGGAATTCAGACTCTGAAGTAACAGTGGCCTATAAAATGAGTGATTGAAATAATTTTATTATCATTAAATTCATTTGAAACAAACCATTTGAGCTTTCCTTTATTATTTTTAGTTCGAAGGGTTTTGTTTTTTTATTTTTTAATTATTTTTTTAAGGTTTTCATTTTTTTTATAAAAATGTGGTTTATTTTTTAATTTTTTTATTATTAAATATTAATTTTATAAATATATAATAAATTATAGTTTGAGTATAGTAAAATAGAATGAGAATAAATTATTCTCTATGATGTTATTGTTTTAATGCTTTGGAGAGTATTGGTCAGTATAAGACCTATGCCTACTTTCACTTCTCTCTCTTTTTTCAATGTCTTGGTTGTACTGTTTATTTCTTTCTCGATGTTCTTTTTTAATTTTAAGGCACTTTTCTCTTTTGTCAATTTCTCTCTTTTCTTTATTTTCGTTATATTCTTTCATTTCTTTTTCATGTTGTTTTATTCGTTCTTTATATGATCTACACTTTCTGACAGGACTTATTTCTCTTTTTCTCCATCGAGATTGATATTCTGTCTCATTCCCAGCAATAGTTCGATCTTTTGTTCCATGCATGGAAATATCATTAATATCTTCATTATCTGAATCAATAACATCCTTAAGAACATCAGAAGGTGCTGTAATTGTTGATAATTTTCTGTTATGATAAAAATTATCACTTTCACTTAAAGATAAAGACTCAGAGTCACTCATATGATTATTATTAATTTTTAGTTAATACATAATAAAAAGGTGAACTTAAAGTTTAACAAAAAATTAAATTTATTTTTAATGAACAACCCAACACATCCTTCTTTAGATTTAAATGAAGATAAACGACCTTTCAAGAACCCTGTTTCTAAGCCATGTTATAAGTATGCATTAACATTAATAAAAGATATCGAAATATTTGTTGATATGTATAAACAATATGAAGTTCAAAAATTTCCACGCATGTCACACATCACACCGTTTAGAAAAGTCCCAGACTATGAATTACCAGTAGAAAAACGAAAAAAATATTATGTTCTCAAAAGTGATCCTAATAATTCTGGTGCTCAGTTTGGAGAGGAAGATGTCGTCAAAACTCTCCGATACGGAAAAAGTCTTCTTAGACCAGCTGGCCTTTCTTCTGCATCAAAAATTGATGGGGTAGAAACAATGTTAGGAAGAGATAAAGTACTACAAAAAAGAGAACGAGAGTTTCATCTTTATTCTTTTGTACCAAAAGACTCTATTCCAATCATTTATTTTCAAGAAAACTCATGGATCATTAAACCATGTCATGGATTTGAAGAAATATATACTTGTCTAAATAACATGATGTTAGAACAAAAAGTTGTTGGTATAGCAAGGTTTGTATTAATTAAAAGTTATTGTGTTAGAAATTTAATCGTTATTCCAACGGCTGATGGGTTAATTGCAAGAGAAATCCCTTGGGGAAGTACTTTTGTTGCTGATGGGTTATCTGTAGAATCTCAAAGCTCAACAGATCAACAAGAATGGATGAGTCGTTGGTTGAATGAATTACCTCGTAGAGAAGATGGTCTTAAAAATAATCCTTTATTAGACCGACTATGGAACAACGTATTTTCCAGACAGAATAATGGAGAATGGAAAGGGTTATTACCAATAGAAGAACAACCAACACTCAGTGATGAGTTAAAAGAATCTGCACAAGAGTTATTAAATTGGAATATAGGCCTTGAATATGATGACTGAGGCAATTATTTTTTAAATTGGGTCATTGTTTTTAATTATCCTTTGGTTTGTTGCTTAATAGACTCATAAGTAAGTAATTACATTAAATTATGAAAGAATTAATAAGTAATTAAATTATTTACTTATCATGACTTTTTTCTATCAAAACTCTTTTAGTCATTCATTTAATGTTTATTAAATAGTTGAGCTGATATTCTCAAAGTATTACAGGTTGCTTAAAGAAAATTCAGTTATTGATAATATTTAACTATAACACATTATTTAACACTCTTGTTTTTATACTTTTTTGTTATTATTATCGATTTCTATGTATTTGTATTACTTCTTCTTTTAGAGTAATAACTAGTTTATTTAGCTTGTCTTTCTGGTAATTCTTAATTAATTATTCATTATTTAAAATTGAACTAAAGCATTAATTGTTTTATTGGTCTTTTGGTTTTAATGTGCAAGTCTCTTCTGCTTTTTTATTATATTTTATTCGTTAATTAACCATACATTAATTAATCAATTTATTTCAATCCTTTTAGTGAACTTTTATATTAGAGCCAAATGACAGAAAAAAAAAGAACTAATTGAGCCTAATATCTCTTATATAATTATAATCCATGTTGTTAAAATACTTTTTTATTTCTTCAAATCTTCTACTCTTTTTTTCTTGAATTTGTTAATTGGAGGTGTTATGATTATGTTAGAGTACTAGTACCAAGTTTGTTGTGGCTATTGATATTTGGGCATTGTCATTGTTTTTAAGTGTTTGAAATTATTTGGCTCTTTGAATAATTTACATAAAACCCCTCCAGTATTGTAACTGTTTAAGTTAATAAAAATTCTTTTTCTCTGTTATTTATTAATATCAATAATTACCATTCTCCAATTTGTGCAAAGATAGTACAACATTCGAACCAATTATTGATTTATAGATATTTTAAGATTAGTATTGTTTCTTTATTTATTGTTATTCATCTGTTAGTTTTATTATTTTGAAATACTTCTTTGTTCTATCATTTTTATGTTTTTCTACAAATTTTTTACTACATTACACAAATGTCAAGTAAATCACATAAACATATTTTAAACCAAAAATAGATTTATATAACATTGTTATGGTTATATTCATAATGATTATCAAACAAATAATATTAACAATCACTTTATTACTAATTATCATAAATTATAAACATCATAATTAATTCTCATTTAAACACATTTATAGTAAAAATAAAAGTACTCATTAGAACTCCAAATACCATAATTCAAGTAGAATATTCAATCAATATGATTATGAGAATCAACAAAGAAGTGAATAAGCAATTAATAAAATACATAATGAAATAATAAAAAATAACAAATAAATAATGAATAATAATATATAAAAAGAAATGAATATAAACAATGAAAATAATGTAAAAAATTAATATTCTTTGTATGAAATGAATAAATTAATAAACACATTAAATGACAAATGATATGATACGAGACTTATAATTATAAAATAACAACAAATGAATATATAATAATAAAATATGGCAACGAAAAAAAGCAAATAATTGAAAAGAGAAAGAAAGATATAAAAGAATAAAAAGAAAGTAAAAAGTAGAAGAAGATGAAGAAAGAATAAAAGTAGAAAGGAGAGAATATAAAAAGAAAGAAGATAAAGAGTAATAAAACAAAAGAGATGATAAAAGAAGAAAAGAATGAAAAAAATAAAGGATGCAAATTTTATTGAAACAAATAAAAAAAGCGCAAAATTTAATGATGCAAAATTTAATGATGCAAAATATTTAGCAACATTTTTATTGATGCAAAATATTTTGAAATAAAAATAAATCATCATTTGATATTATTATTATATTTGATAATAAATTATATTATATATTAAATACATCATATTTCTTTATTATTTATCTTTCTTTTTATTATTTCATGTATTAAATTATTATTCATTCATTTATTATTTATATTTCATTTATTAAATAAAATGAAAATGAAATTGTAAAATAATAATCAATTAAATATTCATGAATAATAATTTATTAATATTTAATAATTGAAATAACAAATAATAATGTAACAATAATGATATATTCAATATATTCTTTATTTTATTTGTTCAATATTAGATTATTTTATTTCATTATCATTTCATTATTTTATTTCATTATTTTATTTCATTTATTATTTCATATTCATTTATTATTTTTTAAAATCAAATAAACAATAATATTGATATTCATTCATCATATTCATTTAATATAATAAACATAAACAACATTTCAGAATAAATAATGAAT